TAATAATTTCAATAGAGTTTTGGGGCCCCTTATACTATAATTATAGCAAGGAACCCCCAAACTAGTATTGGTAACTTAGGCCCCTGCAGTAAGCGGGTGCTTCATAAGTAATCTTGAGCTCTGCGAGCCTACTACCGTTTCCTCGACCCTAGGGCTGGAGTTACCTAAACCATTGTTACTGGGTGGCCCATTTAGTTTGGGGGTCTTGACACTCACTCTCTGCACTGTTGTGTCGAGAACATGCTGGTTTCATGCATGTTTCATTGTTGGACAAGTATCGCTACAGACCTTGACAGGCTAAAAACACCCCCATCGGAGAGCCGCCTGTGCTGCACAGGAGAGCAGGACGTTTTCCTTCACTTCGGGCTTCTTCGGAGGCCTTGCGCTTGCAAAACGCCGACTTTTTTGCCTCCCACCTAGCTAGGGCACAGCCTGCATTGCGTAGGGGCATTTAGGGTTTAGGGTTTAGTGTGGACTACTCTGGACTTTTCGATGTGCTAACTCAAAGCTTCGCCGGGGCTGTTGTCCACAGTGCAAATCCGTAGCCTTGTGTTTTTTGTCTCTTGAGATTTGGATTGAAGTCAACCAATTCCCACCTTCATTTTACAATCTGTAACCTACATGGGGTTTCCTAAAGCCGTTAATCAGATAATACTATTAAGCTCACACGTCAGAAGCGCAAACATTACCATTCGAACCCAGATTTGCCAGCAAACGACGACAAAAAGCTGGCTGATGAGAAACCCTAGAAGCCCAGGTAAACCACAAAACATGTGCCGCTGCGCTCCTAAGATGAAGACATGATGACGTGCAACCAATGTGCTTCCACCAGGCTCAATAGACATCGCAAGAACGCCGGCAAGAAGCCGTCGAGCACAGGCATAAAATACATCCGTAAGGTTTATGGCAAAGACTTGCCAATGCCCTGCTCGAAATGAATCCTATGGCTTCGGATGCTGGCACCGGAGGCTCTTTCCGGGTCCGCCGCCAAGAGTTTTGAACAGGGGTAGCAATCAAGCATGCATGCACATGCACTTGCAGCTGCAACGGGCAGTGCCAGTGCAGAGGTGACATACTGTACCGCCAAATTGCTGTCCAAGTCGCTCGGGGGGCTGTCTCGGCAACCCTCGTGCTGTCATGGGCGGTGGCGACCCAGAAAGCATGGCAGTGACCGGCGGAGCCCATGCCTTGTGGCGCACTGTGGTCTGGGATGCAGGATGTCATACATTCATGGCGCAACACCAACATCCAAACGGATCAATGGCGATCGGTCTTATTCAAACCTGGCAGTACTGAAGGCTGCTCTTGTATCGCGGTGGCTTGCAAGATAACGCAATGCTTCGACTGCATCGCAGCACACCTAAGCTTCTACAGCCGCTGTGACGCAATGTCTTTCAACATTTACATGCACGCCATTTGGGTGACGCTAATGTTGTCCAGGCAGTCTCGGCTCCCACCTGACAGGCATTCATTAAATGTCGCCACGCTGCGTCGGCAAAAGGAGACTCCTCAATCTCAAAGCCGTCAGCCTGTTCGCCGCCGGGCACATGTCAGCACTTGTACACTTGTTGTCGGGCGAAGTGCGATCTTGTCTAATTAACCTGGCTCGGGTCGAAAATCGTAGAATATGATCCGGTATCTCTGAGCTGTAGTCAGCTGGATATACTAAGGCTGCACAGAAACTAAGGGAATTGAAGTAGCCTCCGAAGTCAAGCATACACAACCACGGACAAGGGGCAATGAACCAACGGCCTTCAGAGTAAATATACATACTTCAAGCAGAACCGGTGAACCCATAATACCTTTTAGTTTCATTCATACCCGACTTTTGGGGTTGGAGGTTTAGGGTTGATATTTGCTACTGGAGCCTTAAGATTTGTCTTCGAATTTTTGTTGCCGACCTCCCAATCCCCATCCGTTTGAGCTGCTTCTGCACCCTCTTTGGCTTGAATGGCCACCTTAGCTCGGGACGTGTGTGGCGGCCGTCTGGAACTGAGCGGTGTGGCGGTTTGGGTTTGCATAAGGGCTTCTGAAGACCGGCTCATTGGCTTTTGCTTTTCGGCTGTGGGCGTGGAGCTCGATTTCAGGCTACTAAGTAACCCGTTGCAACTGGCTTGCAATGTCACGCTAGAACATCTGTTGCTTTCCACGCTCCTTCGTAACCTAAACCACCCGAAACAAACGGCATGTCATCGGGCATTTTGGAACCTTCGGGCCGCAAGTGGACACTAGGGAAGTTGCCACAGGTTGAGAAGCATCTGCTGGCATTTGGGTTTAGGGTTTACGGTTTCTTCGTAAGTCTGAAACTCAACGAAGCTTGCTCAACGGCGGCCCTGAACCCAACGGCCGCGAGCCAATCGAGCCGGGACAAGGAATAGTCGGGGCTCGAAATGCTCGCGCCAGCGTTTGGGGCTTAAGTCTTATTGGGCGGTGAAAGGCTGTTGCATAGGAATGCAAACCACTCTGGGGATTACGCAGCAACTGCCAATCAGTGGAATATCAAGCCCAAATTTGTACCACCACTGATAGACCCGGAGCCTTCCAACCCACGGAGAGAGTTGGTTGCGGGGATGATAGGGTCCACTTGTTTCGGTTCGAAGGCATAGCTTCGAATTGAAAAACCTCGGGGCCGAAATGAAATCATTGTTGGGGAAGCTTTTCAGCTGGCCAAGGCGCAAAGTGTTCGCACTGCTGCTCGGTTTCAAACCTAGCTGCAGGGTGTGTAGCTCTCCGGACCACCTACTGCAAATCCTAGAATAGAGTCCTAAACCCTTTTTGCATCCAGGCCTATTGCGACTGCCGGGTACCCTCTAAACCCTAAATCCGAAACCCAAANNACCCTAAATCCTAAACCCTAAGCTCCAGAGTATATAGATTTGGATAGACAAGACTCGAGGTTTCGGGAAGGGCCGAGGGAGAGCCCCAGCTGAGAATGCCATGTTCCTTCAACCGGGTTACTGGGTTATTTGGGTAGAACCATCATTAGTGGATTTTACATCGGGCATGTCATCTCGGGTTTGCCGATGTGGGTTTTGCTTCGAGGGGGTGGGGGGGGGGGGTGAAACTCGGTATGTGCTTCCAGCAATTGCTCAATATCGCCTTCGGCATTGAGACCTCCACCGTCCCAGGCTTGTAGAGTTGCGAAGCTATTTTCTGTACAGGTCCTGCAAAGAGGGCCATGATAGCGACGAGGAGGACGATGAACATTCTTACGACCATGAAAAGGATTACAAAGGTTCCTGACCAAGGCTGTCGCTAACTGAAAGAACTCACTGCTGCTGCTTCTCCTACTATTCCAACTCTTACTCTTGCCCGCACCCGTACTCACACTCCTGAATCTACTCCTGCAAATGCACCTGCCCCTGCTGCTCCTACTCAGGTGCTCCTGCTCCAGCTCCCCCTCCTCCTACTGATACTGGTACTCGTGTTGCTACTACTACCACTACTACTACTACTACTACTACTACTACTCCTCCTCCTCCTGCTGCTGCTGCTGCTGCTGCTGCTGCTACTCTAACTACCACTTACCATTACTATTGCTACTACTACAAACCGACCACTTACCACTACCACGACTACTACGAATACTACGACGACTACTACTACAACAACTACTACGACCACTACTACGACCACTACTACGACGTGATGGTGCTGATCGGCACGCGTGGTCCCTAACCGCACACCATTGCAGACTAGACGCTGCAGCTGCGCTTACTATGCCCGCCACCCTTATTGAAGTAGTCCGAAGATCTTCAACAACATTCGAAAGTAGAACCCCCGCTCGGTGCGATGCAAAGTGTCATCATTATCTATGCTTGGGATCGCACTAGACAGTGGACATCGTTAGATTTTGGGCATGGATGCTCTCTGCTCTCAAACGCACTAGACCATGATCGTCAGTAGACTTTGGGCATGGATGCTCTCTGTTCTCAAACGCGCTAGACCATGGACGTCATTAGATTTTACTTTGACCATGGATGCCATGAAGACCTTTAGATAACAAAAACAAACTTTCAGTCTGATCGCCAAGTTTTGGGCACGAAAATCCAGACCGCAAAGAAAAGCCAAAAACTAGGAACTTCTCAGAGATAAGTGTTGCAAATACCAGCAATTTTGGCTGCCAGCATGAACAGCAACCTTAAAGACACAATAACAATGATAAAGACCCACGCTCTTTCCAAAATTTCAACAACGACAAAAACTATTGTCAAGCACGGCATTTTTGACAAGACCAAGTCTGAACTCATTCAAACAGAAAGCAGCTCATAGCCAAATATTCGCATTATCGTGGCACGGACCGGTGACCAAGCTTGGTCCACAAAAACGACACGACAATCAAACCAAGCAGCCACCATCCGTCGCTGGCTCTAAACGGCTCCAGTCCGAAAGTTCGGAAGGGGCGGTAGCCACCTGTGGTTGAAACGGCATTCTTGTGCTTTGATTGTAGGCAAAAACACAAGTGATTCCCTGGTCTCAGCACGGTATGGCATGAGTGCAGATGTCTAAACATAGGTAAACGCAACATCATTGGAGCACACATGCCATTTGCAAGAGGTGACCTGGTCACTCTTTACCTGCCTGAGCTGCACGTCAGACGACTACGATTACCAATGCGAATTCTCTACGGCACTGCAGTGACATACTTGCTCATGCCCATGGTCGCCGAAAACACCCTTGATAGATGTTGTTGCACTTGTGCGCAGGTCTTGGCTTCGGACTCGTGCCATCCACAGGCCAGCCAAGTCTGTGAAAGTTGGAGCTTCCAGGAGGAGCCTGGCTGCTCTTTCGGGCTTGGGTGAAAATGACGGGTCTGCTCCTTGGCCTCCGCCTGGTAAGAAACCCAAAGCGAGAACGTGAGGATCCCAGGCTACATTACTATATGCAAGTGACCTGGCACATAAGCTGTTTCTGCCTGGAACCCTAATGACGCCTGAATGATCCAAATCCAAACCACCCTGAGCCGAAACCAAGCAGACTAACTGCAAATAAAAAACAGCTTACAGTTTACAGGGATGAGCACTTGTGGATTTCTCTAAGACCGTAGTCACAAACCGCAGTTCTCTTCATTTGCCGCGAAGTTCCGGCAAAACATCATTGCAATAAGCACTGGGATAGAAGTGCGAAGAAGTTCACTGATTCCTGTTCCAATTCTATCTGAGAACCTCTCTGCTTCCAGTGGCCCCTCTTCCATTGGTAGAACAACCCTACCCAAGGTACTTTCTGCAGGCACAGGCTAAAAAGGCCCCGATGGCAAGGGAACTCGTGGCCAGCATGACGTTGGCACGTGAAGTGACATAGTTTCAGAGCCAAAACCTCTAAGGTCTAAATGCCCTGCTACGCGCAGAAATCCCCAAGGCAATTTTGGCAACGGTCACAGCGACAAGACTAAACTTTACTGCAAACATTCTACAACCATCAAGTCCGAAGAGAGCAGTCCACGACCCCGCGCCTGAATATGATACTTCATCCACCTCACAGAGGCCGGGGTCTACGGCTTATGCAGAACGAGAGCTTCGACCGCTTGCCATGCAACACGACATGCGACTGCTTCGAGGATCGGTTACGTCAAAACTCAGTAGCTTCGGACGGAGTCATGTCCATAGCGATCCAAAACCTGTCGTCTCAACTACCCGAGGCTTGGCGTTGCACGGTGAATGTGCATTGCGACCCTACATGCACGGCCTGACCCAATACCTCTGTTAGCTGCTCCAGGGGTCCATGAACATGTCTGGATTTCGTGATTCCAAAGATGTCATAATCACAGCCAACAACTTCAGGGATCGGCATCATTCTTTCGGGACCTGACATAGGTTTACCTAGCGCATGCAGTGAGCCCTAAACCCTAGAAGCAAGGCAGGTAGGGTTCGAAGTTTATCAATGTAACGCAGCAAGGAGCCTATAGATACAAACACTGCCTGCTGAGAAGAAACCCCGCGAAGCAAGAGTCCTTGCAGTGATGAAGACGCATGGTCCAATGAACCAACAACCAAGCATCTGATCTCTAAGCACCCGCCGCTGTGCCTGCTCTCGTGGTAGAGGTCCAGTACCATCACAGAAAAGCCGCCTTCCGCATTGAGGAGCTTTAGGTTTTCTGTTTTCGGGACTCAAAGTTTTGAAGCTGTGACATCAGCCTGGACGGCTTCGCAGAGGCACAGAATTACGGGTGTTGAGCTTGAAGTACGCCGAAGAAGGGCCCTACTGAGTAGTTGCGCTGTTGGGGGTCCTCGTGTGCTTGGCTTTGTGTTCATAGGGCTTAGCTGCTCACTGGGAGGGGAAGCCCAGAAACCTAACCCAAGACTAAAACCCTTAACAAAAACCCTAAGCCCCAAACCCTTGACACGCACAGTAAACCCAAAATATGTTTAAAATCATCGATCAAGCCGCTTCAATAATCGATATTGGGTTCCTTTAAGGGTTCTGTCTCCCCCCGCCCAGCGGGAAACCGCTAAGGTTTCTTTAGGGTTTAGGATTCCTATTAAAAAGGATTGCCGTCTAAGGTTCTAGAAGGGTGCAGCATATAGATGATGAACAATGACGCTTTGTCATTTTATGAGCTATAGTACAACGTACAAGGACTATAGAGGCATACATCCTGGTTATTCTGAAATCCTTCACACCTATGACTCTCTTAACGTAGCAAACAATACGAGAACCGATAAGACTATGTGCTGGCGCAGGCCTGGGAAAATGACGCTGCCAGACAACCGCTGGCCGTTGGCTAAGGGGCCGCGCCTGCGTTGACTTTTCCAAGTTTGCCCACGGGTCTGTGCAGCTACGGTTTGGGGCTTAGCGCTAGGTGGCCATGTAGGAATGCAATGTAATGAACATCGCCGGCGTAGCAGCAAATAGTAGTAGTAGTAGTAGTAGTAGTAGTAGTAGTAGTAGTGGTAGTGGTAGTAGTGGTAGTAGTGGTAGTAGTGGTAGTAGTGGTGGTAGTTGTAGTAGTAGTAGTAGTAGTAGTAGTAGTAGTAGTAGGTGGTAGTAGTAGTAGTAGTAGTAGTAGTAGTGGTAGGTGGTAGGTGGTAGGTGGTAGGTGGTAGGTGGTAGGTGGTAGGTGGTAGGTGGTAGGTGGCAGGTGGCAGGTGGCAGGTGGGAGGTGGTAGGTGGTAGGTGGTAGGTGGTAGGTGGTAGGTGGTAGGTGGTAGGTGGTAGGTGGTAGGAGGTAGGTAGTAGTAGCAATGGTAATGGTAGGTGGTGGTAGTAGTAGTAGCAGGAACAATAATAGTAATAGTAATGGTACGGTAGTGGTAGTGGCAGTGGTAGCGGTAATGGAAGTGGTAGTGGTAGTAGTAGGAACATGAAGGAACTATGTCCAAGACCCCGCTGCAACCATATACATGCGCTTCTGGTGTAAATCGGTGGGGTGGAACCCAACCCAAACCGATATAACTACACCTCACGACCTCGCTTCTTACACTAATTCAGTGTCCGAAGCTGATTTCTATCTTGCATAGAGGCATGGGTATGCCCGTATCCATCTTGCTAACACTGCTACGTTCCAGCATTCTCTGATTACTGCTATCACTATTCCTCCCACTATCACAGCCATTACTATCAGAATCATGTCTATGATTGTTCGCACTACCACAATTACTGTTGCCCAATAGCACTCTCATCAGCAGAAGCTGGGGAAGTCACATGCCAAGCGCCGTCTCCAGTCCTAACAGTGGGATGCTTGGAACTGGTACGAGCTAGAGATGAAGGTTTTAACAGTTTTAGGTAGGGTTCGGTGATCCCATTCTGCTTACCCGGCGGTGGCGGCCTCAAGTGAGTTCGGCGATATAAGGCGACCCTTGCACCGTACTTTTGCGGATCTTAGTGTTGCCAAATTTAAAGTGATAACTCGTTTATTGTTCATACACTTCCCAAAGAAGGTGTGAGTCTTTGGCTCCAGAGCAGGCATGAACCTTTCCGGATTGCCACGACCTTCAATCCACAGTACATGTTGCAATGTGAGTTACACGCGTGTGTTTGTGTGTGTGTGTGTGACGTGTGTGTGCACGCTACACGGTTGAACGACGTCACCTGTAGACTGTAGACCCACAGGTCTACCATATGTTATCAGCTGCAGTATGCGGTGTTTGGAACCGCAAATACGCAAGCCAAACATATGTACAAGCACTGGAGAGACATTGAGCATGTCTGCATGAACGCTGGTAAGTTAGTAACTAAGTATGTACCTACGTACGTATGTAAGCGTGTATGTCTTGCATGCCCACGGTTGCCGCACGTATTTCTTTATAGATGTGGTACACACGCAAACTCGCCAGGCAAAACCCGGGGCTCGTGTGGACCTCACTGAGTGTACTTGGTTACTTGGTACTGACTTTGGGGATACGGACTGGAGTACGCCGGGGTGCAACCCTTGAAGGTCTCAGGTTCAAGGACTATTTAGTGGCGGTGGCTGCAGGGCTCACAGGGTATGGAGAGCTTGCATTTTACTGGGTTTGGAGCTTTGTGCTTTGGACTTCCCACGCTCAGAACCAGATGAAGTTACACCCTACAACTCTAAACTCCCAAGCCTGAAAATCCGAAAACCTAGCCAAAGCTTCTGCGACCGAACTTGAAGTTCCGGTGCCGCTGGTGCCGAAGCTTGCGTATCCTTCCGGGCTGGGTCTCACCACAAGCTTCCTACAACGATTGGGGTTTCGGGCTTTTGCGAAGTTGGGTGTAGAAGATGTGCATCTTGCTTATACACCTATCGCGGGGTGCATTTTTTCACAAGGGACTCGACTGCTGCCCTTACTTCCCATGCCTCGCAACATTGAGCCAGGCATCTGGAACCACTATCAACACAAAAGCATGCAGCTGAACTCTTGAGTTTTCTCAGCAGAGACTGACACGAATTAACCGTCGGAGTCATGTACACGGGGAAAGTCGGATTCCAGGAGCTTCTACAGGCTTCGAGCTGCTCAGGACATAAACGGCTTCTAGGGGCTTTCAGTCTATGGGCTCTAGAGATATTTTGACACATATGGACCCCGGTTCTGTGGCATTCGGCTCTCAAAACGGGCTGCTACCTGCGAACTTGAGGCTTCAGAGCTACCCCGGCGCTGGAAGCCCTGGTCTAGTTATTAAGTACCCTACATTAGAGCAGCATTCAGCTTGCATGTTGGCGCTGTGGAGAGCATCTCAGTTTGGACGCAGGCTGGCTTAGGACAGCTTAATATACTAATTCTCCGTAAAGTTCTTTATCATCATCAAAACCCCGGGAGCCACAGGTGCTGAGGAAGCTGCTCGGTCAGTTCCACCCACAGATAGGATGGATCCTTGCACGAGAGCCAAGCTTAAGCAGATCTCGTTGAGGGCTTTGGGAGTGGAGGGGTCCCGAGCCTTGCAGGGTTCAAGTTCATGGCCACAAACACACATCGCGCCAGGCGCGAGGGCAAGCCAATTCGTTGGCTTCTATGTATGTATATAAATATATATATATACACACATATATATATATATATACTTGTACGGTAACCCTAGGCGAAGCAACACCGCGCGCGAAAGCAGATGGAGTTCATGCAAGGGCTTAAATATGAAAGGAACTGTCGAAGGCCCACGATGGATGTACCTGCCTCTATATTTGTATCTTCAGCTATGTTTACATGTGTAAAGTTTCTATATCCCTACTTTCACCTCGAGTTTCTTTGCTTTGTAAGACCGATATCTGACGATCACAACATTGAATTTTGTGGAACCGAATCTAGAATCGGAGAGGGCAAGAACGAGATCGAATCCTGGCGCTGGTGTGGCGCAGCCTCTTTTCGGAGTGTGCAGATGTAGCAATCCTACTTCTGAAACCCTAAGGATTTATTGCAAGGGCCAAGGCTATCGGTGGAGCATGTTTCACGGCTTGCCTACAAGGCAAAGGAGGCTTGTCTTTCAAGAGCTTTGTAAACTGCAAAGCTGAGGCGCGCCCAAGGTTGAAACTCACCCCAAAACTTGGAAGCCGCTCGTAACTCAAATCACAGCCCTGAGTTGGATCTCCGCCCTCCGAAGGACGACACACTAAACCCGGAAGTCTACTTCTACGACCCCAAGATACCCCAAGTTTACCTCCTTTAGGAACTCTTATGCGACTGAAACTCCTAGGGTCAACACACAAAGCATGAAGTTTATCCAGCCTCACATGCTATACCATGCGAATTCTGGAAAAGCCCCTCTGCGAGAGTCTAGCCGGGTCCTCCAGATCGCCAGCATGCGGAAAGGCCTTCTTCGTAATTTTCGCCGGGTCCAGTTTCGGAACGCTCCTTGTGCAGAGGATATACATATAAAAACATAATTACTTACATATGTACGCAGACACCTACTACATACATACCGACCTACCCACCAACCTACCTACCTGCCTGTCTGCCTGCCCGCCTGCCCGCCTGCCAACCTACCTACCAGCCACCGAGCTGCCTAGCTACGTAACTACCTAGCTAGCGAGCTGCCTACCTATACCTATGCACCTACTTACCTGCCTACCTACCAACCACTTACATACTTACATACACGCAGACACACATACAGACATGCATGCAGACCTACGTACATATCAACATACATACATACATACATACATACATACATACATACATACATACATACATGCATGCATGCATGCATACATACATACATGCATGCCT